ATTTTAGTTTAATGTATGTTTTGTATTTTGTATGCTACTGGATGCTTGAATTTCCCTCGGGATAAATAAAGTTTCTATCTACTAAATGTGTGTGCATGTTGTCAGTTATACACAGATTTCACTTCGCTACCAGTAGTCTAAATTTGTTCAGTAAATGCTATTTTTAACACTCAAATTCCACCATAAAACAAGCATACATCCACTTCTGTACTATGGTGAATCAATACTTCCCTTTTCTTCCTCCATGACATTGGCGTACGCATTAGGAAGACCATATATCAGTGTGCTTGTGTGAACATAAGCTGTCTAACCCTAACCCACACACACACACACACACACTATAATGCAACACGAACAATTTACTGCAGTTAAATTGTGTCTTAAAACTGCATACAAACATGTCAAATGTGAGGTAAAGTGATAATAAAACTAAATGAATAAAATGAAAATATATTATAGCTGAGAATTCACTGCTCAGATAGTGTCACTAATGTGAGTCTCCTCATTCTAACAATCCAGGGACATACGTCTTCACACAAATAATATCAGGATACATTTGGAAAATGTTATTAGTAATATCCACTTTATTTGCCATTTCCAAATAACTCACAAAAAATGAATTGAAATGTAAGCTTCACCTCTTGCATTCACAAACAGATAGGCTACATTAGTGGTTATGTTCAAAATAAGTAAACATGAAGGAAACATTTAATTGATGGCATTCATACAACCATCCAATCAAAGACAGATACCTTTTCTTTTTTATTTAATTCCAAGGGTATTTATATAAAAAGGCAAAACAAGTTATTTTAATACCCAGTAGGACAGTTCGCTCATAGCTTTCACACAAATATCGGTTTTTAGTATCACCCCTTAAACCCTGCTGAAAATATTTGGGCCATCAAGTCTATTGAACAATACATGGAGACAAAGAAAATAAGTAGAATAATTATGATTAATGCTTGCTTCTGAAAAAAAGCACACAAGAAGAATTAGACTGTGTTAAGCCAATGTTAGAGTAAGCAAGCACTACGGTGGTCACTTTAAGAATATTAGCTTCTGCGATCCTCAACGATGAACACACAGCACTTAATGTAATGGCTATAAGCTAAGGAAGGTACGCCTTCACAGACTGGGATTCTTACACTACATGTCAGTTTCTGCCTGTCGCTTCTTTAAACGTTCAGGGGTGCTTCAATCATGGTATGGTGTACTGGAGGTTAGCCCTTAAAACATATTAACCCAAACTACATTTCCAAACATTCTGATGCCACGGCGTCCTAACATTTTGGGTTCAAGTTCACCTCGCATATCCCATCCCATCCTCCCATCTTTAAAACTCTCATTACTGTGTGCTTTTCAGTTAACGAGTAATACCACAGACATTCTTTTGCATTACTGCCAATGGACACGTTGAACTATATGACAAACACATCTCTGTAATCAAAGCCAGTGATTACTTAGTGTTCATGTATTAACTCGGGGAATCAATGAGACAACGTTAAGTATTTAGAAAAATAAAATGGTTTAAATTCTTTGAATGATTTTGGGGTTTTTTTCTGAGCTGTGGTCAGATATCTTATAACAGCATTCTCTTCCTCGTTGCAATTACATAATTGTTTGCATAGACTCCAGTGTTGGCCATCCTATTGGTTGAGGAAGTCCTTTAATGGTGAGCGGTTGCTGTCGGCAACGCGCGTACACATTCACTCCTCTGTTAATTACTTAAAGTGGATCAGAGTGAAATGTGGCGGCAACCTCTGAATGGTGGTCAGACTTTAAAAACAACTGAAAATAATAAAAAATAAATTACTTTAAATAAGTTAGTAGTGGCTCAGTCATAAAAAAGGGTAACTAAGAGAATGGAGGGGCAGATTTCACAGTGTGTTTTGGTCTATCATCATGTATAGCCTTCTCATTTTGCCAATTTTTGTTTTTACACTGCTTCAATCTTCACCCGTCAGCAAAAAGTATAACTACTAGATCAAATGGACAATTAATTAAGATGTTACAACACCTTAATGCAAAGGGTAGGGGAACAAAGCAGAATGACAATGTCCTCTAAACTCTGCACATCATTGGCAGCCTACGATTACAGGCAAACAGGATGGGTTGGAGGGGGGGGGGGATT